TATGATGTCCTCCCCTTTGGTCAGCACTAAATCCAGGGTGGCTTTGCCCCTAGTAGGCTTTCCACAACCTGTATCAGAAACAGATTGTCTGTCTGTTGTTGCCAGGAAATTGACTGACATGCTGAAGACAGCTGAATGGTCTTCCCAACAGATGTCTGAGTAGTTGACATCTCCCACGACTATCATGTCTCTAGTGCTGGCTGCCTCTGTTAGTCCTCCTGAGAATGCTCGATTGCTCTCTTCCTCTTGGGAGGGAGCCCTATAGTAGATTCCCAGCATCAGGTCCCCTCTCTTTGTCCCCCTTGTAATCTGACTCAGAGGGTCTCAAGGGACCCTCCCCTGATGTCAAACATGATCTGCAGGGAGGGGTACTGTTCTTTCACATAGAGGGCCTGTAACAGGGGGCCTTCTCGCGGCCAATTTTTAACTGTGGCCCACCCACCTGTTTCTGGGCTAACCGCCCACCTTCTTGCCCACCATGCCTTGTTGGAATTAATTAATAGATGTTAATAAGCGGGAGGCTGCCCATTTCTTGCCCTGATGCCAGGGAGCGCTATCTGCGGCTCCATTCCTCCCCTGCACCACAGCCCAAGCCTCGCAGATGGCATCTCAATGTTATCATCGTCACCGGCCCCCACACTGGGCCCCAGAATCCTCCTAATTAAATCCTGCCTGGATTCCTCTCCTCAGGAGGTCCCATCCACCTTCATACTAGGCAGCATAGCTCCCAGAACTGCTTCCCTTTTGCGTGTGGTCCCCCCGGGACCTTTGGCTACTAGCCCTGGCCCACCTCCCAGCCAGTCGGAACCCCAGGCCCTCAGCTCTTGGGTGTTCCTTGTGTGGGCCCCTGGCCCTTTGACCCTTCCAGTCCTGGCCCCAGCATTGACCAGTCAGGGGAAGTCCAGACAGGCGTGAGTCTATGGCCCTCCTCTCTCTCCGGGGGTCCACCCTCCAGACCCTACGAAGGGGTAACCCACCCGGTTGTGGGGGCTAGGGGTTAAGGCACCCCGACCCCGCCTTTCACCAAGGTGGTAACTGACCTGGCATTTCCTGGGGGCTCCTGTACCACTGAGAGCCCCACCAGGCCACCCACACCCGGAAGGGTGCAGTTTTAGGTCATACCCAGGACCAGGAGCCTCCTGACCATCCCCTACAGCTCCTCCCTTACCTCCAGATGATACCAGCAGCCCTCCAGCCAGGCGATTGTTGTTGCCTGGCCTCCAGCAGCAGAACTGCCCTGTTTATATGGGCAGCCCCAGATTCAAAAATGGCTGCCCATATCAGGCAGCTGCCAGCTCCAGGCCCTTAAAGTGGCAGGCACAAACAGTGCCCTGCCACAGGGCCACACTTCCTCCCTTCTTCCCAGTCCAATCCTTCCCATAAAGCCTGTAACCTTCAGTATTCACTGCCCAGTCATGCATCATCCCACCAGGTCTCTGCCAACCCAGTCAAACTGAATTTCTCATCAGCCAGTAGGACTGCCAGTTCCTCTTGTTTATTTCTGTGCTTCTGGCATTTCCATAAAGACATTTGAGCTCTCCCCTACTCATCTCAGGTTTTCTGTCACATTGTCTGTCTCAAGACATCTATTGTTTGACTGTCCTCCCATGTGTCATTGTGGCTAATGGATTCTGCTTCAGCAACGAAACTTTCTCCCCGGCCCCCGGATGCAGCTAGTTTAAATACCTCCTCAACAAGTTGGCAACTCTTGTGGTGAAGAGCTTCTACCCTCTGGTGGTGAGATGAACAGCATCCCTTGCATGGAGGCTGCTGTAGTTAAACTGCATACCAGGGTCAAGGTATCCAAAGCCCACGCAGTGCAACCATCTTCCAAGCCTTTGGTTGACCTCCTCAATACACTCCTCCCTCTGCTGGCCACTGTCCCTGACTGGGAGGATTGTGGAGAAGACAACTTGTGCTACAAGGTCAGGGGCGGGCAATTATTTCAGGTGGAGGGCCACTCTACCCCATTTTGGCAAGCTGTCAAGGGCTGCATGGGTAGCCCCTTGACAGGTAGCCCGTCCCCTGGTCACCATCTTGGAACCAATGTCTCAGGCCAGCACCAGTGAGGACCAGAGCGTGGCTTAGGCTGGCAGGGGTCTGTGGAGCCGGGCTCGGCTGCACCAGCAGGGAGAAGGGAGAGCTGGCTAGGCTCCATAGAGCCCCTGCTGGCCGGGACCCTGTACTCCTGCTGCCCTGCTCTGGGCCCTGCTGGTGCTGGCCCCGGGACACCGGTGCAGGCCCCGTGCTCCCACTAACTTCCACATCCACTCACTCCCAGTGCCTTCCCAGCCCTGCAGTACAGGCGGGGGGCAGCTTGCAGCCCCAACCCCCTGCTCACTGGCAGGGAAGGAGCTGGTGCTGAGCATGGGGAAAAGCAGCCCCTCCACTGCCCCATGGCCAGCGCTCCCTGCTGCAGCTGCTCGCAGCCCACACGGAGCTGTCCTGAGCAGCACAGGCAGCCCCACATGGGCTATGAGCGGCTGCAGCGCAGGGCGCTGGCCATGGGATGGGTGAGGAGCCACTTTTCCTGCGCTCAGCACCAGCTTGTAACCCACCCCCAACGCCAGCCTGGGCTGTGCACTGTCTCCGGGCTCACCTGTTGGGTCTGCGCCACAGCAGCAGCAGCTGTGTTCCCCCTGCTTGCTGCACTGGGCAGTGTTTGCCACCGTCACTGTTTTCCTCCACACCAAGCAGCTGCTGTCGCCACAGCGCAGCCCTGACGGGCAAGCCTGGAGCTGGTGTGGGGCCCAGGCTGGCAGCGGGGGCAGGTTACAAACTGGTGCTGAATGCGGCGAAAAGCAGCCCTCCCCTGCCCCATGGCCGCCGCCCCATGCTGCAGCCACTCGCAGCCCGTGTGGGGCTGCCTGTGCCTGGTCAGGACAGCCCCACACAGGCTGTGAGCAGCTGCAGCAGGGAACACTGGTCATGCGGCAGGAGAGGGGCCACTTTTCCAGCTCAGCACCAGCTCCTTCCCTGGGCAGGGTCCTCCCCTGCCCTTCCCCCTCCCCTTCCCTGAGTTTCCCACACTGGAAGAGCCACATGGTCCTACTGTTGTAGGAGCCCACCAGGGCTTCCCCTGGGTCCTACTGCTCCTGGCTCTTGTCATTTTTGACAGGAACCAAGGACAGATAAATATTAATTTTCTAAATTTTTAGGGGATGGAATGGCCTCGCAGGCTGGATCTGGCCTGCAGGCCATATTTTTCCCACCCCGGGGCTAAGGGTTATTTAGGACCCCTTTCCCTTTGGAGCAGAACAGAAGATGTTGTCCCAGAAAGGGCATAAATCCTATAGTAGCTATAGTTGACAATATATTATATTACTCCTGGTAATATATTAAAATGCATATTGATTGATTGATTGCTTGTATTCAGTCTGTCATAAGAAGTGCAACACTAGGTCAGATCAGTGGTCTATCTAGCCCAGTTTCTTGCCTCTGACAATCACAGAAGTGGATGCTATAGAGGGAGAGCATTGAACTGGAGCCCTCTAGAACGATCTAGATATAGTGATCCCCTACAGTGATCCTCTGGCATGTCTAAACCACCATTATTGGCTCAAAAATGCTGGAAGAAACATTTCTAACCATTCTGCTCAATAGCTATTAATTGATTTTATCATCCATCAATTTAGCCAGGTTCAAAAAGGGACTGGATATGCTATCTGCCTTTACCACCTCTTATGGCAATGAAATCCACAAGTTAACTATGAGTTGCATAAAAAAGTACTTCCTCTTGCTAGGTTTAAACCTGTCATCTACTAGCTCCAGTGAGTGCTCCCTGGTGCTAGTATTAAATCTCTCTCAGGGGATTCAGATCTTAACCAGGAGCCTATCCTGCTTAATTACATTCGTTTAACCAGCTCTTTGAACAATCATTTTATGAGAGGTTTTTTTGGTGTTTTGCTCTAATTTATTTGTTTCTCTTCTTAATCTTTTCATCCTTAGAGGATAAGGGAAGGAATTATTTGAATAATAGAAGAAAAATATTTTTCATTATTTTTAGTTACAGTTAAACAAGGGACTTTTGAAAATTTTAAAATAGTCAGTGTGCTTAAAGACTGTGAATGCAAACCCAGACTTTGGAACTGAGGAAGGTTTCACATTTTATTATAAACATATTATTACCATATTTTGCCAAAATAAAAATCAACACAAAGCATCCCTTCTATCTTCCCTATCTTCCACTGACCACAAGTGTGAGCCCTCTCTGGTACATTTACACTATTGTATATTTGCAGGCACAGTCCCATAAGTGTAAGCCTGTATGCATCAAAACAGTTCTGCTTGCTTGCTTTCACAACTTTAAAAATCCTAATTGCACCTCCTTCCATACACTTTCATAGCTGAAAATACCCAGTACAAGCTTTTACTTTGCTTACTTTTCTGCAGGTATGCATGCTGTTTACATAGCAACACACTGGCACACACACCAACACACATACAGCATATTTATCTACAGTTCAATCTTAGACACCTCACACATTTGCACCTATACATATCTGCATTATAGGACCATAGAAAAGTAGGGCTGGAAGGGACCTCATGGGATCATCTAATTCAGCCCTGTGCTCAAAGCAGGATCATCCCTAACTAAACTATCCCAGACAAATGTCTGTCCAACCTATTCTTGGAAATTTCCAAGGATGGAGAATCCACAGCTTCTCTAGGTAGCCTACTCCAATGTTTGACCACCCTCAAAGTCAGAAAGTTCCTTCTAAATTGCCAACCCAAATTTCCTCTGCTGCTGCTTGGGGCCATTGTTCCACATCCTGTCCCCTGGCCACAGAGAAAAAAGCCCATCTCTATTCTTTCTCTAACTGTCCTTCAAGTATTTGAAAACTGTTATCAAATACCCCTCTGTCTCCCCTTCAGGCTAAATGTACTCTTTCAAATACATGTAAACACAGTAATAAAACAAATTATTGTAATTATGCACTAGGGAGAGAAAACCTTAGTATGCTGGATTGCTGACTGCCTATCTGTGATTACCTCCTCAGATATGGGGGATTTTACCCTCAGTTCCGCTACCAAATTGGAGAAACCTATGGCAAAACCACATCTCACCTGCTCACCGATCCTAGTATTCAGAAGAGCCCATGCTCTGTGCTGGCACCACTGGTGAAGCCAAAGTTCTTAAAGGATTTTAGTGACACAAAGCATCCCATGAACCAGATGCTGGATCGAGACAAAAGTTATATTCCTGGCTACACAGGCAAGTAGAACTCCTGAGTTTCACTCCATACACAAACACAAGTTAAATTAAGTCTCAAATGACTAAAATTAAGTCAGGGTTTTCACCCAAATAGTTTCATAGTTTCTAGAGTCGGAAGGGACCTGAGAAGATCATCTAGTCCGACCCCCTGCCATGGCAGGAAAGAGTACTGGGGTCAAACGACCCCAGCAAGGTGATTGTCTAGCCTCGTCTTAAAGACCCCCAGGGTAGGAGCCAGCACCACTTTGCTTGGAAGTTGGTTCCAGATCCTAGCTGCCCCGACTGTGAAGTAGCGCCTCCTGATGTCTAGTCTGAATCTACCCTCTGTCAGCTTGTGACCGTTATTCCTGGTAACTCCTGGCGGTGCTCGGGGGAACAGTGACTCCCCCAAT